TGAACCTGGTGTTAAAATATAAATTGATTTTTTTATGCAGACGCCTTATTCTTCAATACCATAGTTACAAATATGTTTATTCCGCAACCTCATGTCGTTTCTTCTGCGGAAACATCACATCGCTAAATGACTATGTTTCTGATGTTAAACCTGCGTAATACCAAGTGTTCCATGGTTCTGTATATCCCTAGTTTGCATTTGCCATGTGTTCGTTACCTTTTGTTCCAACGTTGAATTTTTTATGCTGCCGCCCATACTTGGATATGGAAATGTCCTTCATACAGAACAAAGACCATGCTTTCAATAAATATCCAACATATTTCGACGTTAATCGAAAGTGACGCATATTCGGAAATCTGACTTTTTTCATACCGGTGTTTACTAAAACTAATATTCTCTTCACAGAGGAAATCTGTGCTTTTTACTGTATTCCCACCTAAGCGTCAGCCTAACCTAAGCTAAAGCGTAAATTAAGTAGTCAGATGACATTACAGATGCATAGCTGTGAGTATGGATTTAGTAATAATTAGGTAAACCCAAAATACTACCGACTTGGATTGAACCTCGAATGAATTTCATTCAATGCCTATATAGAGTTGTCCATAATGATATGGTTTGAGTTGGGAATTAATTTCCCCTTCTTTCGATATAGAGTAATCCTTGCAACTTTAGCAATAGCATCTATTAGTTTTACCGTTATCGCAATTACACGTAATTCTGTAACTACGTTGAGAACATTTTTTCCATTGCAAGTCTGCATTAGGAAACAGCAAATACTCCTTCAAACTAAATGACAGTTTAAATTGCTTCTTCCTAGTTAAATTTTAGCCCGGACCCTAATGAGCATTCCGTTTATTCCTACGTTTCAGAACCAATAAAATTATCTAATTTAATGTTTTTTGATCTAATATTACAGTTCCGAATGTACTTTGTGAAAGCATGGTCTTATCAATATCGGTGATGCCTCAGCGTCGCGTCATTTTTGCAATGAACATGCAATTTATTTCGACGTTAAACGCGGCTTAGTCGATAATCTAATTCAACAGCTGTTTGATAAATGAAATTCAGAAATACGGCAATGAAAAGCAACAATGGGATCATGTTTTGTAGCAACATCTGTGACGTAAGTCATTTAGACTTCGCTGACCACAGGGAGTAGAATGCTTTGAAGTTGTGTAAGACTGTCGTTATATTTGTACTGTAATGATGTCACTCATTACCCCTGAGAAGACACGTGAGAAGCACAAATAGAAATCACCACTGTTCGTTGGGTTTATGTTAATTGCATTCCAACTGTAAATCAGCATATGGGACATTGATTCAGTTCCTGACCGGGAATTTAAAACAGTTTTAATAGTTATTTGAATATCTGCATTTTCACTTTCGCTTGTTTATTGTACAGTTATTTCATAAATTGTACAGATTACTATATCCGTGCAATTTTTCATTTCCAAGCGATACCAAATTCGTTTTAATAAGATCTTCCCATCTTATGTGATACTTTTCAGTTCCCTCGGATACCATTCCGCTGTCCATCAGTTTTCGTTCCGACGTATATGTCCAGTTGCTTGCACAGTTAGCTCTTTCTTGCTTCCCATAAAGCGTCTTTCACTGCCATCATTCGAAGGACTCTCATTTGTTATTCAGTTTACTGCGTTCTTCATTTTATGATTGCTTTTGTGACAATAATTTGTTTTCATCGTTGCTACCACATTTCACTTGAATACGGTAAATCGGGTGATGTGGTTGTGATGAACAGCAAACGATTGATCGTGACGTTGAGCTGTCTTTGTGAAACGTCATGTACAACATTGTTGCTATTCTGGACGGCGGTGACAAGGTTAATGCATTAATTATGTATCGTTATGAAATTTTTAGCTAATGAAAGGTACATTTGTGGTGTCACGAAATCTGTTCAACTTTTAAGGTTGCACAGCTTCAATTAATGATAGCGGATTTGCTGAAAAACGTCCAACACGCTAGTCCGCAAATTCGAGAAGCTCAATTACGTCTGGAGCGTAAATTATTAAATATTACGGAGGTATATCTATTTCAGATATAATTTCATTAGTGTATCTTAAAACGCATGTGATACTTTCAGCTGTACCAGGATTATGCTGAGGTATTCAACTTACCAGAGTGCAAATTGGCCATCTTGCATTGTGGCGGACACTATGATGCGAATCTCATTGAATTAACTTGGCGAGAAATCGTCGACAAAGGTCAGTAGTTATTATAGTTCATTTCAACCGATCCAGCCAAGGCTACGTACTTCTTGAAAGGATAAACTGCGTGATTAAAAATTTTGTTTTTTTTCGAATAGCTACTCTCAGTTTTTCAATTTCAATCAATCAATAGAGTTTACTGCTTGAATCGACGGAACTAGCACAGACTAACATTTCTACCTTTGAGTATACCATATTCCAACTATCATTCATCATTTATGTGTGATCGACGGGGACTGTTGCTCTAACCAGAATAATGTCATCAGGCTACCACGTTAGCAGTGGTGACTGTTAAGGGTTGCTTGGCATGGCGCTTGATTCGTGGGGCTGATGTATTTCACCGTTTGGTACGGCGTCAGTGGGGAACCGGACTACCTCCCTTCTGCGTTTCCATAAGGATGGTCAGAGGGTGGTGCCTTATGTGGGATATCTCTGTTCAGTCTAGTGACGTGACCGAAAAGCCGGAGTTAACAGCACCTCTGTGTTACGAATGGAGTCGTACCACTTGCTACCGAAGAGTTGCTTCTGACAACGAATGAGAAAAGTACCTTATGTCAGATTACAACGGAGTCCATTTCTCAGCGCTGTACGGCAGCACTGGTATCACACAGGACAGATATATTATCACGTGGGTGCCTGTACTGAGATAGTGCTGATGTCGGTTAGAGATTTCATGCCAGAGGATTCCAGGCCAATGCGTCAGAGGATATGTTATGTCTGCATTTCTGTCATTAGACTGCTTACTTCCTTGAGAAGTGAACCTGTCGATCCTATGGATGATGTGTTCGAAAGTTGACTTTTTCCTAACGATTTATTAGATTTTGCAAGTTTTCTATCGCAAGACAATAACACCAATGAATATGCCGCTTTTTGGAATTCTTGGAGAATGTTGTGAAAATTTGACTTTTCTGTCGCAGAGAGCGGTGTCACCTGCATAGAGCAAATCATTGAAGCCTGACCACCAACGACGAAGGTGCTGCCTTTTGAATGAAATTGTTTGTAGCCCTGCTGAACATAGATGGGACCAAAATTTAACCTTGACCTACGCCCTGTTCCATCTGGAACGTTCACGAAATACTTGATCCAATCCGGGCAAAGGACGCAATATTATTGTGCGGTTTCTGTATTCGGATTAACAGCCATGATGGAATTTTTATGTTCTTCACCGCACTTCCAAGAGCTCTCTGATCGACAAAGTAGGAAGCGGATTTCGGTTCCATATAAACGACGTGAAAAGGTTGGTCGAACTGCGGATGAACCTCGGCGAGCAGTTGATGAATGAGCACTGTTTACGTTGCCTACATACCAGCGTATAGCCAGATTGCTCTGATGGTCGATGTTGTTACTCAAGCGGAATCTGTCTTTCCGGTAGCATGTGTACGACGACCTTTTAGCGTGATTAGGCTGTAGGGCATGCAGTCAGAACACTTATATGCTTATATAGGACGACTATTATGCCATCCTTCCAATCAGCTGCGATTTGACCTGATTTCTATCTTCGGCCAAATAGGTGTGCTGTTTATTGCTGGCAGTCAGGAGAGGCAATTTGAAGGGTTCAGGCAGGGTACCATTCATTCCAGCGACACAGCCATTGCAAAGCTTCCGATTTGTCAGCTGCACTTCATAGTTGGCGGCGTGTCGAGCGGTCAGAAGAACCATGGGATGCTGACTGCACTAGCTGTCGCTCGGTCTGTGGATGACTCGCTAGCGATTCATAAAAAGCTCTTCACTGCAACATTTTGTTACAATGTCATAACATAATCTTGTTCATTACTGTACCGCGATGGGAAAGAAGTTACCGCACTCGACGCCGTATTTTTATTTGGAAAATAGTAACGAATATAATCAAATTTGCAGCCAAATTTGCTTATTGTTTCTCTGTTGTTATCATCTCTTTGAGCCGTCTGCATAAACAGAACGTCTCTGTTTGTGATATCCGTTGTATCTGAAGCTTTGCAGTATTTTTCCTATAAAGTACCAGTTACTCTGTAGTAGAAGAAAGCATTGCTCTCCCAAATCAGACGTGCCTCTACCATTTTCCTTAATGTTACATCCTAGTCTCCATGTCGACATCTGCCATCTTTGGGCTCCCACGCTAGAAGCATATAGGCTGGAGTAATTGGTTTATGTTCAATCGGTTTCTCTAAGAAGACCAACCTTCTTTTCTTACTCTCCACATCTGCTGAGGTCACTTGTGTCTCATTCCTTACGGGGTTCTCCATACCGCGCAACGACCCTGGCTTGACAGAGGCAAGAAACGGGCAGATTTACATCTGAAGAATAACTCCTGTACCTCGGAACTGTATTTACTAGTGATGGAAAATTGGAGGAAGAGATCGATCGGCGAAATGGAGTAGCCATTGGCGTTCTGCGTGAACTAGCTCGACCCATTGTGACTAAAGCAGAGCTCAGTCTGAAAACTATGCTCCCGGGTTCAGGTCGATCATAATACCTATGCTTACTTGCGGTCATCAGTCGTGGACCATGACTGAGAAACCTCGACGCAGGTCTAATCGGCTGAAATGCGCTTTCTGGGACGAGTTGCTGGCCTTACGCGTCTCGACATGGTCCGAAATAGTGACATCCGGAAGAGCATTGGAATACAGCCTTTGC